GCTGTACCCCAAGAAGGCTACCACCCACAGAGCTAAAATGAAGCCAAACAAAGAATCCATTTCTTAAAGAAATGTTTCTATCAGTTTGTTTTGTAGGCAGAGTCTTGGCACACACACCAGACTGGCTGTGGCCTCACACTGAGCCACATGCCTCTGCCTCCTGAGAACTGACGGGTTTCTAAAGATGGGGGAGAGCGGTTATTCCCCACTTCTGCAGCAGCCCTGCCCAGGTTTCTGGTTCTCTTCCCTTCATGCCTCTTCAACTCTCCTGTTACACTCACACACAAAACGCAGTCACCTGCACCCACTTTCTCTCCTGTTACACTCACACACAGAACACAGTCACCTGCACCCACTTTCTATCCTGTTACACTCACACACAGAACACAGTCACCTGCACCCACTTTCTCTATTGCTACACTCAACACACAAAACACAGTCACCTGTACCCACTTTCTCTATTGCTCTAGGTTCTAGGGTCTTTAACCCTCTTGGTACAACTGCTGCATTTCAAACAGGATTTGCAACATGTTCTTGGACTGTCAAGTAACCCAGAGTAGTTTTAAAGTGTTTACATTTATTTGTGAATAGTATGGATGTGTGTTTGTGTGTGAGCACATGTGTTGTGCCACGGCACATGTGTGGAGGTCAGAGGTCAATATTCAGGCATGAACTCCCTGGGGATGGACTTGGGTCTGCAGGTCCCTTTGTCCACAGAGCCATTCAGGAACAACTCACCTCTTTATCTCAAATTCACACACCGTCTATTCCTTAACTCTCCCCATACTTAAAGAAAACACACCTTTCAAATCAATATACTGTGCACTCACACTGAGGTTTTGGGGTCCTCTCAAGTTCTAGTGGGCTGTAGCGGCAAAAACGGCTTTGAGCGGAGAAAGAAGTGTTCAAGTCCAAAGCTGTTCCAACACAAAATGTGGTGTGAAAATCTTGACGATTGGAAAGGGAGCAGAAGTCAACGGCCGGAGTGTGGTCATTTTTAATAGTGTGTGATGTGTATGTCTGTGTGTGTACAGGTACTCAGGGCAGAGGGGGCACTCACTGACTGTCCTGATTTACCAACCTCAGCCTTATTCCCTAGAGACGGGGTCTCTCAGGTCTAGGATAGTGGCCGGTAAGCCCTGTGGATCCCAGATCTGTTCTCTCACAGCGCTGGGGTTGCACGTGCATGTGTGGCCACACTCTGATGTTTTCACGGGTGCTATGATTTGAATTCAGGTCACCGTGCTTACATAACAAATACCTTCCCTGCTGAGCCTTCCCCAACCCCGGGTCTGTGGTTATTCAGTTGCTCAAATGACACACCAGAGATAGCAGGACCTCCTAGATGTGCTGTGTCTCAAGGTAGTCAATCAGCCCTGCCTGGTGGCACCCACCTTTAATCCCGGCACTCAGGTGGAAGAGACAGGCGGGTCTCTGTGTGAGTTTTAGGCCAGGCTGGTTCACAGAGTGAGCTCCAAGACAGCCAGGTCTACATGGTGAGACCATGTTGCAAAAATAACATGTCTCAGAAAGTCAAATGCTGGAGAAATGGCAGAAAATGGGAACTCCTGCAGGGTGCACAAACCCTTGCTGTAAGTTTCTATTCAGGGGCAGGCTGCCTTGAAGGGGTGGACATGTACAAGCACCCTGAGCCCTGACCTTGCGACTCTGCAGCAGCCGATGCATGAAATGCAGAACTGGAAGGCTGAAGCAGCTGCTCCTGTAAACACTGACGGGGAGTGGCAGGGAGAAAGACACTGGAAACCAGGGCACGGGCAAGAAAGGGGCTTCTAATGAGTTTCTATTTGCTCAGGAAAACCCTGAGAAGCCTCCAGGCTCTTGCTAATGCTCCTGCCCGAGTTAAGTGTCTTGGGCCAGCACTTGAGAGGCTGAGGCAGGAGGATTGCTATAAGTGTGAGGCCAGCTCAGGCTACCTAGTCTAGAATGTCAGCCTGAGTTAAGTGTCTCAGGTCAGCATTTTGGCACTTGAGAGGCTGAAGCAGGAGGATTGCTACCAGGCAGACAGACAGACAGACAGGCAGGCAGGCAGGCAGGCAGACAGACAGACAGGCAGGCAGGCAGGCAGGCAGGCAGGCAGACAGTGTCCTACCCTTTGTACTTCCACTTCCTCTAGTGCCACCAAGTTGATCTCCTCTTCTTGGACCAAGCTAAATTCTCTTTCCTGACTGGGCTCCAGCTCATCTTCTTGGATGATGGCTTTTTCTGCAGTGAGGACCTTTTCTTCATTGGTGGGGGCCTTTTCTACAGGCTCTTCCTTTTTCAAATGCTCCACTGCTGTGGGGACCTGTTCCTCTTCAGTGACAGTGGTGGGATACAGGGGGGTCACATGGTCATAGCGTGTGTGTAGAAGCCGAAGGGCGACGTCACTTGTAGCCAGTATCCTTGGGATTTCAAATCCAATTTGTGTTCCAGAGAATTTCACACTTCGATACCTGTCAGAAATGGGTAGAAAAGAGGAGGATCAGTCTGGAGAAGGTCTTGGTCCCACGCTACCTATGAGGGTGTTTGTTTCAATGCCCCTCTTTTTGTGTCCTGCGCCTACTCCATTTACCTGCAACACTGGGACCGAGTGCTTCTCAAAGCATCCTTGGATTCCAATCCACACTCCTCCCCAGGAGCCGCTCAGTGCTCCACCGGGCCATCTTTTCTTTGTCACTCTCTATACCTGATCATCTATAGTTTCAATTACTGCCCACCTTACCAGAGGTATCAGTTGGGCTTTGATTTTCCTGGTGAGGACAGGGAGGAGGAAGAGGCCTCCCTAAATGAACTCTAAGAGGCCTCAACTGACCCTTGCACATATGTGAACATATTTCTTGCTCAGAAAAATCTATGACACTGAAAACACTGATTCTTCACCAATGACTCTCCCAAAAATACCACCCCAGACTTCTCTCAGTGCCTACCACACGTTGATATCTGGGTTCTCAGCCAGGCTAGCATTGGATTATTCCTTGGAATCCTTTCCTATCATTATCAGGAGAAAGTCAAACAGTACATCCCCCACTACTCCTCACTGCAGGAGAGCATCATCTCCTGGAGAGCACGTCCTCTCATGGAGGAGAGCATGTCCTCTCATGGAGGAGAGCATGTCATCTCATGGAGGAGAGCATGTCATCTCATGGAGGAGAGCATGTCCTCTCATGGAGGAGAGCATGTCCTCTCATGGAGGAGAGAGCATGTCATCTCATGGAGGAGAGAGCATGTCATCTCATGGAGGAGAGCATGTCATCTCATGGAGGAGAGCATGTCATCTCATGGAGGAGAGCATGTCATCTCATGCAGGAAAGCATGCCATCTTCCCCGAGATGAATTTCTTTCATGATTCTGTGGCATTAAACAGCAGAAAACCTGACACATTATCTTGAAGTTGATAGGAACCACAGCATTTTGTAGAAAATACAACTTGGAAAGTAGTTTGTTCCCTCCTTTTATGGAACATCAAAAATGAAGTTCAGAGCCAGGCCCGATGTCACACACCTGCGATCCCAGCACTGGGGAGGCTGAGGCAGGAGGTTCACCAGTTCAAGGCTGGCTTTGGCACAGGACGAGGATGGGGAGAGGGCGCCTAACTTCTTTAAAAAGGTTTGTTTGTATGCACACAAGTGTTTCTTCTACATGTATGCATGTGCACCACTCATGGCATTCACTGTAGCACATCTGCACTAGACACTGGGATACAATGACTCCCATAGAAACTGATGTTTTGAAGCCAGCCTACTAAACGCGGCTGTCTGTGGGGAAGTGGTGCGGGGAGTACCTGGGATTCTTCTTTAGGTTTGCCCACACATACAGGGTAACATTCTCATCTTGGATGATTTTTTCCATGTTCCCACTGTCCAGATCTGCTAAGGTACTAGCTTGCTGTAAGAGAAAAACATAACAGAGCCTGTCTTAGGAAAGTCACAGTCACTGGAATATTTGTAGATGGGAGTTTCTGTCCTGACAGGTCCTGCAGCCATTCAGTCCCAAATAAGCACAGAGAACACAGAGGCTCATTTAATTATAAACTGTTTGGCCCATTGCTCAGGCTTATTACCACCTAGGTCTTACGACTTAAATTCACCCATAATTCTTATACATATTTAGCCACGTGCCTTGGTACCTTTTCTTAGTGAGGCATTCTCATCTTGCTTCCTCTGTAACTGGCTGGTGACTTTGTCTCTGCCTTTCCTCTTCCCAGAATTCTCCTAGTCTGGCAGCCCCACCTATGCTTCCTGCCTGGCTACTGGCCAATCAGCAATCAGCATGTTATTAAACCAATATGAGTAACAAATCTTTACAGTGAACAAGAGCATTATCCTGCACCACATATTGGGTTCCTTGTATTATTACAAGAATAATCTGGATAAAAGTAAGTTTAAATCAAAACGGCAAAGAACTTTTCTGGAAAAGAATACTTTAGAAGCCAAGGGGATGGCTAGGTGGTTAAAGCGACCATTGTGTGTGAGGACCAAAGTTGAGGTCCCCACAACCTCTGTTGATGTCTGGTGGCTTCCTGTAACGTCAGCCTGGGAGGGCAGAGACAGAAATTCCTAGAGGTAGCTGTCTAACTAGACCAGTTCTATTGCAAGGTCTGGGTTCAGCTGAGGGATCCTGCCTCACCATACAAGGTGGATCCTGATGCCAACCTTGGGGCTCCATATGAAAAAGGCACACATGTGTGCGGTGTACATGTACACGAGGCAGTAAGAGATCAGGTGCAATAGGATAACCCAGCTGGACGGGAGCCCTGCTAATCCTCCTCCATCTTTTCTGTGTCCTTGTTTTTCCTCTCGCTTCTGTGTGGTGCTGAGCATGCCAGCAAATGCTCTACCACTGTGATCCACCGCCAGTTTCCCTGGTCCCCTTTGATGCACTAAGATCTGGCTTGTACCAATATCTCTATTTCAAATATAATGTCAAAGTGTATAAAATAAAATGAAAAATCTTTCCCTTACAGTAAACATCTTAGCCACTAACAACCCTACACAATCCCTTACTCCATTTGTCCTACAATACACACAGTAGATGCAAGAATATGACGTATATTCTACAGCAAGGGTAGAGTCAGCTCTGTGATGATATATTGTTTATGATTTATTAAAGTCACTGGAGATCAAATAGCACAGCAGCCATACCAGTTAGCTATAAAGGCCAGGCAGTGGTGGCCACACTTTAATCCCAGGACCTAGGAGACAGAGGCAGGAGGATCTCTCTGAGTCTAAGCCACCCAGGAGCTCCATGAGACTGAATCAGTCTAAAAGAACAACAGGGACCATGTCTTCAATCCCAGGGCTCGTGAGAGGTGTTTAACAGGAACAGGGTCTCAGAGCTGGCATTCATTCTCCAAGCACACTGAGGATAGGAACGCATTGAATTCTCCAGGCACACTGAGGAGAGGCAGCTGTCTGAGGCTCATGGAGACAGGATCAGCCCTTTCAGCCTGAAGGTAGAGCTGAGAGCTAATGACTGGCTACTTTGCTTTTCTGATCTTCAGCTTGAACCCTAATATCAGCATTTTATTTTTCATGCTACACAGCTTTCTGCAGGAGTGTTTAAGCTTAGACTACATCTGTCCAAGGACTCTTTGAAACCAAAAGACAAAATGACTAAATGCAATGTATGTCCTAGACTATGTTCTGATGATCTGCAGTGTACACCTGTAGTCTGTGTGCTGATGTTCTCCACTGTACACCTGTAGCACGTGTGCTGATGATCTGCAGTGTGCACCTGTAGTCTGTGATCTGATGATCTGCAGTGTACACCTGTAGTCTGTGTTCTGATGATCTGCAGTGTACACCTGTAGTCTGTGTTCTGATGATCTGCAGTGTACACCTGTAGTCTGTGTTCTGATGATCTGCAGTGTACACCTGTAGTCTGTGATCTGATGATCTGCAGTGCACACCTGTAGTCTGTGTGCTGATGATCTGCAGTGTACACCTGTAGTCTGTGATCTGATGATCTGCAGTGTACACCTGTAGTCTGTGATCTGATGATCTGCAGTGTACACCTGTAGTCTGTGTTCTGATGATCTGCAGTGTACACCTGTAGTCTGTGTTCTGATGATCTGCAGTGTACACCTGTAGTCTGTGATCTGATGATCTGCAGTGTACACCTGTAGTCTGTGTTCTGATGATCTGCAGTGTACACCTGTAGTCTGTGATCTGATGATCTGCAGTGTACACCTGTAGTCTGTGATCTGATGATCTGCAGTGTACACCTGTAGTCTGTGTTCTGATGATCTGCAGTGTACACCTGTAGTCTGTGTTCTGATGATCTGCAGTGCACACCTGTAGTCTGTGATCTGATGATCTGCAGTGCACACCTGTAGTCTGTGATCTGATGATCTGCAGTGTACACCTGTAGTCTGTGATCTGATGATCTGCAGTGTACACCTGTAGTCTGTGATCTGATGATCTGCAGTGCACACCTGTAGTCTGTGTGCTGATGATCTGCAGTGCACACCTGTAGTCTGTGATCTGATGATCTGCAGTGCACACCTGTAGTCTGTGATCTGATGATCTGCAGTGTACACCTGTAGTCTGTGTGCTAATGATCTGCAGTGCACACCTGTAGTCTGTGATCTGATGATCTGCAGTGCACACCTGTAGTCTGTGTGCTGATGATCTGCAGTGTACACCTGTAGTCTGTGTTCTGATGATCTGCAGTGTACACCTGTAGTCTGTGTTCTGATGATCTGCAGTGCACACCTGTAGTCTGTGATCTGATGATCTGCAGTGCACACCTGTAGTCTGTGATCTGATGATCTGCAGTGTACACCTGTAGTCTGTGATCTGATGATCTGCAGTGTACACCTGTAGTCTGTGATCTGATGATCTGCAGTGCACACCTGTAGTCTGTGTGCTGATGATCTGCAGTGCACACCTGTAGTCTGTGTGCTGATGATCTGCAGTGTGCACCTGTAGTCTGTGATCTGATGATCTGCAGTGTACACCTGTAGTCTGTGTGCTGATGATCTGCAGTGTACACCTGTAGTCTGTGATCTGATGATCTGCAGTGTACACCTGTAGTCTGTGTTCTGATGATCTGCAGTGTACACCTGTAGTCTGTGATCTGATGATCTGCAGTGTACACCTGTAGTCTGTGATCTGATGATCTGCAGTGTACACCTGTAGTCTGTGTTCTGATGATCTGCAGTGTACACCTGTAGTCTGTGTTCTGATGATCTGCAGTGCACACCTGTAGTCTGTGATCTGATGATCTGCAGTGCACACCTGTAGTCTGTGATCTGATGATCTGCAGTGTACACCTGTAGTCTGTGATCTGATGATCTGCAGTGTACACCTGTAGTCTGTGATCTGATGATCTGCAGTGCACACCTGTAGTCTGTGTGCTGATGATCTGCAGTGCACACCTGTAGTCTGTGATCTGATGATCTGCAGTGCACACCTGTAGTCTGTGATCTGATGATCTGCAGTGTACACCTGTAGTCTGTGTGCTAATGATCTGCAGTGCACACCTGTAGTCTGTGATCTGATGATCTGCAGTGCACACCTGTAGTCTGTGTGCTGATGATCTGCAGTGTACACCTGTAGTCTGTGTTCTGATGATCTGCAGTGTACACCTGTAGTCTGTGTTCTGATGATCTGCAGTGCACACCTGTAGTCTGTGATCTGATGATCTGCAGTGCACACCTGTAGTCTGTGATCTGATGATCTGCAGTGTACACCTGTAGTCTGTGATCTGATGATCTGCAGTGTACACCTGTAGTCTGTGATCTGATGATCTGCAGTGCACACCTGTAGTCTGTGTGCTGATGATCTGCAGTGTACACCTGTAGTCTGTGTTCTGATGATCTGCAGTGTACACCTGTAGTCTGTGTTCTGATGATCTGCAGTGCACACCTGTAGTCTGTGATCTGATGATCTGCAGTGCACACCTGTAGTCTGTGATCTGATGATCTGCAGTGTACACCTGTAGTCTGTGATCTGATGATCTGCAGTGTACACCTGTAGTCTGTGATCTGATGATCTGCAGTGCACACCTGTAGTCTGTGTGCTGATGATCTGCAGTGCACACCTGTAGTCTGTGTTCTGATGATCTGCAGTGTGCACCTGTAGTCTGTGATCTGATGATCTGCAGTGTACACCTGTAGTCTGTGATCTGATGATCTGCAGTGTACACCTGTAGTCTGTGATCTGATGATCTGCAGTGCACACCTGTAGTCTGTGATCTGATGATCTGCAGTGTACACCTGTAGTCTGTGATCTGATGATCTGCAGTGTACACCTGTAGTCTGTGATCTGATGATCTGCAGTGTACACCTGTAGTCTGTGTTCTGATGATCTGCAGTGTACACCTGTAGTCTGTGATCTGATGATCTGCAGTGTACACCTGTAGTCTGTGTTCTGATGATCTGCAGTGTACACCTGTAGTCTGTGATCTGATGATCTGCAGTGTACACCTGTAGTCTGTGATCTGATGATCTGCAGTGTACACCTGTAGTCTGTGTTCTGATGATCTGCAGTGTACACCTGTAGTCTGTGTTCTGATGATCTGCAGTGCACACCTGTAGTCTGTGATCTGATGATCTGCAGTGCACACCTGTAGTCTGTGATCTGATGATCTGCAGTGTACACCTGTAGTCTGTGATCTGATGATCTGCAGTGTACACCTGTAGTCTGTGATCTGATGATCTGCAGTGCACACCTGTAGTCTGTGTGCTGATGATCTGCAGTGCACACCTGTAGTCTGTGTGCTGATGATCTGCAGTGTGCACCTGTAGTCTGTGATCTGATGATCTGCAGTGTACACCTGTAGTCTGTGATCTGATGATCTGCAGTGCACACCTGTAGTCTGTGATCTGATGATCTGCAGTGCACACCTGTAGTCTGTGATCTGATGATCTGCAGTGCACACCT